ATGATGATGATGATGATGATGATGATGATGATGATGATGATCATGATGATGATGATGATGATGATGATGATGATGATGATGATGATGATGATGTCACGACTCGGTGGAATCAGGCGCTCTTCAATTTTGGGGCATGTGGAGTTATTGGTGTCATCTTAAAGCTTGTTCATACGTCTATCTCTTGAACAAAAAAAGTCGAGATATTTTCAATTTAAGTAGGGTCGACTGAGTTCAGAAGTGAAATAAGCAACAAATTAGCCGTCAAAATATGATATCTTCTAATGCTTGAGAGTCCCTGGAAACTGAAAATGAACAGTTTTGTGCCTTTATTTAAGCAAAGTTTTTCAATAAAATTCACACAGAAATGTGTTTTTAAAAGGACATAAAAAGGCTTGAGATAAATAACAAAAACTCGATAAAAATGTCCAAACATGCAGAATAATGCCCGTATATTCAATTGCATAACTTCAACGAGCGCCTGAATTCACCACGATGACTTACAACTATTATGATATTATATTCACAACATGTGGCTACTAGATCTAGGCAGACAACAAAGAACGGGATTGGGTTGATGTCCGTGGGGGGGGGGGTGTGTGCAGCGCGCATCTGATTAAACACTGGTGGGTTTTTTGTTGTTGTTTTTGTATGCCTTGCCCATTTATATGAAACTAGCTGGGTACCCGGTTCGTTGAACGGATTTAATTGTCAGGTCATTGTGGGTCCAGTGCGCACTGCATGTGAACGGAAGTCTCACTTCTTATATCATGGAAAACGATATTTTTTTAACACAGCATTGAAATGACGAACGGGAAAAATCGTAAAAGGCTGATAATGTTTTCTATTTGTTTAGGTGAATGCAAGCACTTACTGAATTGTTAAAAACATAGCTTAGTATTTGAACTACCTTTAGTTATTTTTTTTATGGTTTTACATTTCATAGTTTTTTCAGCTATAGAAAACAACCATCCACATGTATGCAATTATAGATTGACGCCATCTGATTAGTAAAAAAGAGTGCGTATGATAGTGTCCAATAGTGCATTACGTGCATACTTAATAATAATAATAATAATAATAATAATAATAATAATAATAATAATAATAATAATAATAATAATAATAAAAATAAAAATAAAAATAATAATAATAATAAAAATAATAATAATAATAATAATAATAATAATAATAATAATAATAATAATAATAAATGACATTTATATAGCGCTCAACCCCGAATAAAGTACACAGGCTCTGAGCACTTTACAATATAGTACAACATACAACAGTAACATGAAACGTTGTGTTCGGACTAAAGAAAATTATTCCAAATATTCATCTTATTAATTTAAAAATAGAAACGACTTCCGCTGACATTTGAATGAATCAAAAGATTTGATTTCTCTCAACGTACTTGGTAAAGCATTCCAGATCTTGGGGCCTTGGTATTCAAATGCCCTTTCACCCTTTGTTATAAGTTTCATAGATGGTAAAATAAATTTCTTTTTGTCAGCTGATGACCTTAAACTGCGAGTTGGAATGTACAGTCTTAACAGATTTGATAAATATGATGGTGCATTATCATTCAAACATTTGTGACATATGGTGGCCAACTTGTACACAATCCTTTTCTCAACAGGAAGCCAATGCAAAATTCGTAAAAGAGGTTTAGCAGAGTCTCGCTTTCTTTTCCGTAAAACTAAACGTGCTGCATTGTTTTGGACAGTTTGAAGTCTTTTAACGTTCTCCAGTGATATTCCTGATAACAAGGAGTTACAATAATCGAGTGTTGATAAAATTAAGCTAGTTACTAGTAAAGCAGTATACTTGGTATTGATCAGATGACGCATTTTACAAATTTTTCTTATTTCTAAATACATGCGGCTGATCAGAGTATAACAAGTAACTGTAACAGCAGATAGAGATTTCAGGATTATAGATAGAAGTCACTACAGATGTGATGATTTTAGAAATAATGATGGTGATGAGTGAAGATGTGGGATTGCGTTTAAGTAATGTTAGCGTTAGTCCTATCTTCCTCAGCTCCAATGAGTCACGAGGAACGTGAGCACCCTCTATACCGTTCCCTACTGGAAACATCTTTAATGTCACCCGTGAAGTTCCGGAATGGTGGGCACAGTGAAAACAATTGTGTTGTATTGGCACAGAATAATAAATCAGTTGTTGTAATAGATGGCATCAAGTGGTAAGATAAAATCCCAAACACCCAAGTTCTGAAAGGGACAAATTCTAAGAGTCCGTTTTTTTAAGGTAAAAAGATTTTCTTTCTTTTTTTGTATTAGAGAGCGAATGGCCTTTTGGCTAAGATCAAAGGTGGTATCTGTTCTCAGTTTCTCCTTCGCCTTGTGCCCACTGGTTTAGCGAGGCGGATACTGTCCGAGGCATCCGAGGGACGGAGAAATCTGCCCCTCTTTTCTATCGAGTGGACGGTTATCGTCCAGCAAGCAACAAAAAAAAGTAGAGAGCGAACGGTGGTGGTGATGTCAGTCAGTGACCTGTCTAGAGGAATTTTTAGCATGGTGAAATGCCTCTATCGACACTATTAGGTCATTTCAGAATTGGGACCTCCGAGTTTAACGTCGATCTCCGAAAAGGACCAATCCATGTGGGAAATTCATGTGTGTAAAGTGCCTGTCTTATTTGATTACTTGATTACTTGATCCTGGGAACAACATCCTAGCACTCCGGGCATTGCTATACGTTCTCGCTCCCCTCTCCAATATCCACCTCAGAGTCCATCTGCTGATCGTTCCGGTGTTTATTTGGCTAATGACCCGTCTCTCCATTCCCTGTACCATGCTGGTTCTGCCACTTCCTCTGAAGACACCCAGTTCTTCAACTCGTAAGATTGACGCATAGTCATGCTTAATCTCTTCATCTTCAAGTGTGGTGGCAAGGGCCTTCACGACATCATTTTTGACCATTTTAGATTCAGTATTGACAGGTGCATGGCTCTCCAGTTTGTCTGCTTGTTTATTTCCCGCCACACCCGTATGGCTTGGAGCATAGATCCACGTTATTTTTCTCAGTCTGGTTTCTTCTACGCTTTGCAGCCACTCTTTTCTCAGCATCCACTTATTCACTCTCTGCAATATGTTTTGTGAGTCAGTAACAATAACAGTACGTCTGGAAGAACGCAAGCTCTCTTTTAGCCATTCAAATGCTTTTGCCACTGCCTCTACCTCCATTCCTGTGCTTGAAATCGTCTTTCTGCAGGCACCAAATGATTTTTTAATTATGTGGCCATCTTTATGTACAACAAAGTCCCAACCACTTTTCACCCCACATTTCACAAAGCGAACAGTGTATATCAGGCACTGGATCCAGGGGCCTGCAGTTTTCCTTGATAATCTGTCTTACTTCCAACTCTGCTGTTCTTGCAACCTCCAATACATCTCCCTTCTTTACACCAATGATGACTCTTGTCAAATTATGTGAAGCCTCTCGTGACACTTGAATCCACTCATTGCCATCGTTTATATCATGTAACTCACACACCTTCTTTACAGACTCTTCTGCCTGTGCCATCCAAGATTGACCTCTCTTTAGTCGGGTCCCTCTGTCCTGCTTGATCACAGGGTGAAGTGGGTGGCCTTCCATTTCCGTAAGTTTCAGGTACATCTTAGCCTGAGCCAATTGGTGTCTTACTCGTATACTGGAGAGTGCGTGTCTTAGGCAAACACTTAGAGTGTCTCTGGTGCATCCAACGACACTACGCATTGCCTCATTTTGAACCCTCTCCAATTTTTCTATTTGGGATTTTGATAGAGCCAGCAAACCCAGTCCATAATCAATCACAGACAGTACCATAAACTGCATCATAATGAGCATGATTCTCTGCGGCATCAACGAATTCGCCATCACTTTGACTGCATCAATCCCCTTTCTCGCCCTAGAGCTTATGTTATTTACGAGCTTTCCAAATAACAAAAGTGACACCTAGGTAATTCTGTTCTGTTCCCCTGTCAATAACCTCATAGTTCATCGTCACTGGTGGGGTTGGGTCCTTCACTATTCTGTTATTGAGCGAGCACAACATCAAGTGTGTTTTTGCTGAATTTGTAACAACCTCATTCTTCTAGCACCACTCTTCAATCGTCCTCAAGCGCTGTTGTAGTTACCATTCTATCAAGCCCATGCTCATAGACTGTCACGTCATCTGCAAAGGTTAGAGTCCTTCCAGCCTGGCAACTATCACCCCTGGCCAGATCCACTCTGTAAATGTTGAACAATAGGGGGGGGGCAAAGGTGAGCCCTGGGGGAGACCAGGTGCAATTTTCTGGGGATTAGCCATCCATGTTCCCCATCTCAATGTTACCTTTCTTGTTAGCATTGCACCAGCAACCCACGGAACCAGAAAAGGATCCACAAGGACACAACGTCGGAACGAGCTCACGCTCACACCGCCGAACCCGCAATCTCACGATTACGAGTCCGGCAGCCTCACCACAATGCCACCGACGCCCCCTAAATGTATGAGTCTATGGCTTGCACAGGCAGACGTTTGAGGGAAAGCAGAACTCTGAGAGAGTCCGAATATTGCAGGGTTTTTTTCCCTTGTGCGGGGTTTGCACCACGCCGCACTCTTTGTCGCCAAACTGAACAAACTCGGATGACGTTGTTCACTCTTTGGGGAACACCAAGAGAAGCTGAGGTAGCTAGGCGTTTCGCCATATTCTTGAGAAAATAAGTCAAGAAAATGGCCAGAGAGTGGCTGTAAAACAGCATCTGCGAGATTGTAAACCATCGCAAAGCAGGGAGGCAGTGCGAAGTGAGTATTTTGTTGACTATTGTTCGACGTACGGTCTCTGTGATTGTTTTCCTTTTCGTTCAAGGAATGTTACGATTCCTCAAGCATGATTTCCAGTTTGTGGGTCAAGGATGCACTTTGACCTAGATTTTTAGAAGGAATCATGGGAATGCGTCTTGTTTAAAATTGTCTGGTTTTCACTTGGTTTGAGTAAGTTTTACGGTACTTGCAATACATGTAGGTCTTATAAGATTAGGCTAAAGGTGATACAAGAGTAACAAACACTAAAAGGAGGAGAGATAAGGACGATAGATCTAGATCTAGATGTTTGATAGGAAAAAAGGAAACCACAGCAGAGCCCCCGCCAACCATCTACAAGTTATCTATAGGACTTTTTTATTACATCCCTGACCATCATGCTTTCCAGTATAATTCCAGTTCTCTGAGGAAAAACTATCTGACTCTAATTAAAGATCTCTCTTAAACTACAGTGCAAAGTATTCCAGATCTTGGGGCCTTGATATCTATTCAAATGCCCTTTCACCTAGGCTTCCTCAGTCCCAGGCCATCCAGCCCGCACGACTGGCCTCGGCATTGGAGTCCTACTACGTTCCCGGAGGGTCAATGCAAAAAGCGGCGATAGACTAGTGTGTTGGTGCGGGTGATGGAGCATTATCGCACTGTACTCACTATACTGGCCTACAACGAACCTTACTTAACATGCTATGCATTTTTGTTGTTGCAGTTTTTTGTGAGAGTTTATCGGCTCTTATAACAAAAGAAGATCTCTCCAGTGACAACATGAAAATGAATTACGTTTGCATTTTACCACAAAAAAAGACCGTGGCACACTTGTGGGATAACTTTTATTCTTCACTTGCAACATCGTTCTCATTCTACATGTTTCAACAAATATGAAAGAAAATTAATTTCACACACACACACACACACACACACACACACACACACACACACACACACACACACACACACACACACACACATATGTAGAGAGAGAGAGAGAAGAGGAGAGAGAATTATATATATATATATATATATATATATATATATATATATATATATATACATATACATGTATATATTATATTAAGCATGTAACTGAACACAATCCCTTACCTCTGAAAAAAAAGTTACTTTGCTATTTTTTATTCTTCGCCTGTCCTTCATTTGCTCCGCAAATCTTTTCATGAAGATATATCTGCCAGCCGCATCAGCTTACGATAACAATGAAGATGGAATATCGCTGGAAAGTCCCTCAAAATCGCCACTAATCAGTTTCTGCACAGTTTTTCAGTGGTTTCCATTTTTTTTAACCCTACTCAACAGGTAGTAGTAGTAGTAGTGTAGGCCAACAGTGTCTCTCTGGAAGATTACACACGAAGAGCAAAATTTCATCTAGGCTGACTGATTCTAGCATGTGACAACATCTCTAGTGCGATAGTGAAGCCAGGATGCCTGATGTGCTTCAGTTTGTGAAGCTTTAAATGAAACCTCTTTCACGTGGTCATGGGTATGGTGAACAAAAGTAAAATACATGGAAAATGCAAAAACAGGGCCATCTCGAGTTCTGCTGAGCAAGACAAATGTATTATAATAATCTTTACTCTTTGCAACATTGCCAATGGCTGTCAGCGGCATATCCATTATTTGATAAAATGAATCGAACTTGAAGACATCTCTTTCTTTAAATATATCATCAATATCAGCAGCTCTGGAAGAAGCTGAACTTGTTGTAGTTGCTCTCTTTTTTGGAGCTGCTGTGCCACAATATGATGGTGGTAATTCTGGAAATTTTGTTGGAGACTCTGAGGGCACTATAAATCTTCCAGCCCGTGTCAAAGGTACACCAGGTTTGAAGTGCAGAGAGCAAACTCCCATATAACAATCCGTGACATCTTCTATAACTAATTTATTTGGAACACTTTTGATTCACTGTGCTTTTTTCCCGAATCTTTTGGAAATCTATATTATTGTTTTTTTGCATCTTCCTTTTGGCTGGCATAACTACTTCTACTACCCCATCCCCTACACTTTCTTCCCATGTTCAAATGTTGCTCACACCGTTCATTGCGCTGAAACTGAGACGTGAGCTGAAAACTTTTTCACAATAACAGTAGATTATAGTAATAATAACATTCAAGATGAAAGAAAACTGGAATCTGTGCTGAACACTTAGGCACAAAATATAAGCACAAATGTAATCCTTAAAATTGAGTGTAGTGAAAATACATCTAAACGAAAAAAACGTGTACACCCAAGAAGACTGAATGAAACAATGAAGAGGCTAGGAGATTAGACAGACAAGACGGCTACACACTACACACATTACTATTACACTATCGGCACGCAGAAACGTAATGCAAAAATGTTCCACCACCTGTATACGTATTAGTATTAGAACATCTGCCTATCGCCGCTTTTCGCATTTAATCGCCGCTTTTCACATTGATCCTCGGTAAGATAAGGACCGGTCTCGAGGCGAGCTTATCAAGATCAGGTTGTCCACTCCGGCCCTCAATGCCGGAGGCAGTCGTGCGGGCTGGATGGCCTGGGACTGAGGAAGCCTAGCCTTTCACCCATTGCTTTAAGTTTCATAGATGGAAAAGACTTTTCTTTTTGTAAGCTGATGACCTTAGACTGGGGCACCTATGGTGCGCAAGCTTCTCAGCGAATGTGTTTAATAGAGAGCTAGGTGCTGTGGTCATGGCAATGCATGGTCCAAGGGATCTTACTTCCTATCTGTGCATAAAAACTGAGAAAAAAGGATCAGTGGGTCGACAGCTCAAATCACTGAATGCATTACGACAGAAGTAAATCCCAAGAAAACGTATAATCCCAAAAGTCCTCTCGGTTTTCCCAAAAGAGGTGGCAGAGAAAGGAGGAGCAGCTATGGCATTGTACAGTCCACAACGATACCTTTTCTCAACCTTGTAACCAAGTAAGAAACCAACCAAAGTGGAATGATACCTAGATCTAAGTAAAGAGAATAAAATAATGATATACTTTTTTCGCTCCGCAGAAATCCTGTCATGGGAGAAACAATAATTCCCAACTCACCCTCGAGGGACCATCCCGCTATTCGACTTTTGTGCGTGGCGCTTTTGGCCTTGACCTTTAATCAAGTTCCCCAAGTCAAAGGTCAAGATCCTGTTATTCTGTCGAATAATAACGGAAATTTTACATACTATGGTAAGTTGTTACACATTTGTAAACCATTTTTCCCCCGTCAACATCCTACTAGACACGACATGTAGGTTATTTTGGAAACTTGAGGACACTTGGCAACCAAAACTGAAACCTCACTACTCTTTGGATTTGAAGACCGTTAATCAGCTCATACTTTTACTCTCCCAATTGCTAACATTAGTCCAGTTGGTGCGCGCGTCCTTGGCTCTACTTCAAAGTGTTTCTCTGGAATAGGGAATAAAACAATGTTTTGTCTCATCGTTGCAAAATGCGAAATCGTTAAGATTCAACACCCCTTTCAGCAATGCAAGATTATTTAATTAATTAAAGAGGCGGGATCTCCGAATTCAATGGACATTTCCCAATAGGTCCGAGCCAAATGGGGAGAAGAGTCTTTTAAAACTCTCCAAAACAACCCATTTGAGGATTTGAACTGGGGCCATCTGCTTTTTAGTTCAGCAAGATACCAACTGAGCCACGACTTGGAGAGCTAGGTGACTTTAATGGGTGAGGGGGGTTGATTGTTGTTGTTATTGTTTTTTGTTTGTTTGTTTTTGGTTGTTTTGTTGTTGTTGGTGGTGGTTGTTTTTGTGTGTTTTTTTGTGTGTGGGTTTTTTGTGGGGGGGGGGGGTTTGGGGGGGGGGGGGGTTGTACCTTACGCACTGCACTGGCACCATATTATGCTCCTTCTATCCCATAAAACATCTATCATCCTTATTTCTCTTCTTGTTTTCTTTTTCTTTTTTTTTTATTTGTCACTTTCTAATCTCAAAGGTATATTATGTGACCTAATTGTGTTGCAAATTGTATAAAACTTTAAGTAAGTGGGGGGTTGGCGGGTGCTTTGTTGTAGCTTGCTCCTTCTTTCCTATCAAACATCTATCGTCCTTATATCTCACCTCCTTTTTTGCGTATATTACTCTCTGGTAACACACCTATTCTTCGGCACTTATGCGGCCTTCTTGTGTTGCAAGTGCCGTAAAACTCAACTTTCTCTTTCCTCACCCTTACTATTATCATTTTTCCTCTACTTCTTTTGTATGTTTGTCCCTCTCTTGTGGACTGCTATTTCCGGGGTGCTTTGATAGTCGAAGCAGACTTTGTAATGTTGAGGCTAGAGAGGTGAGCAGAGTAAGCCTGTTTCCCCGTTTGAATTTCTCTGTTGACATCCACCCTTTGGCGCTCACATGACCTTATACAGTTGCGAGCGCCGTAAAGCCTTAAAGTAAAGTTGCTCTTGTATCCGATCCGGACATTAGGGATTGCTTTGTTAGTGACACAATTTCCTGGACCTTCGGCATATTGTGACAGAGTGGCCACTTCCTTTCCACACCGCCTTTACTTCCCCAACTCGAAGTCAGGTACCAATTACTGCTGGCTCGAACACGGACTTTCCTGTAAAGCCTTACTAAAACTAAAAGCTAAAAGCATCTATCGTCCTTATATCTCTCCTCCTTTTTTCTGTGTATAAGAAAAGATAAGATACACATTTATTGTCCAGATCCTGGCACATTGGTTTGGTATTTCACCACGTGTACACACATACACACACACACACACACACACACACACACACACACACACACACACACGCACACACACACACACACACACACACACTCACACATACACACACTCGCACACAAGCATACACTAGCACACACACGTAGGCTTACAATCACTTGCATAATATAAAAGAGTAGCAATATAGAAAATAATAATCGCAAGCTAATGTTACTTTGATGCATGCTCTAAGGTCGTAAGTATACTTATACAAGATGGTTACGGTGAAAGCATGTTGATAGATGATTGCGAAAATGACCTTATTTTATATCTTTCTTTGTTACAAATTAAAAGCCTAGGTCTTTTACTTCTGACTGATGTTTTTATTTGAGGAAACAAGGGATGTTTGATGTAATTAATTTTTTAAGTGCAAGCTGTTGTGTACAATTCATCCAAGTAAGGGAAGTAGATGTTGAAATTGTACATGCTTTCCGTATTAGTCGATTTAATTTTTCTTTATCTTGTTGTCTTGTGTTCCCCGCAATGCTGTTGTACAAAATATTGTCATACTTTCTATGGCGGAAAGGTAGAAGATGGACATCAATGTTTTATCAACTTTAAAATACTTTAGCTTTCTTAGAAAAAAATTGTCTTTTGTTCACCTTTCCGTGCAGAGAGTAGTGTGGACACGCCAGTTGAGTTTGTTGTCTATTGTAACACCCAAATACTTATTGTCTGACACTTGCTCTATGTTTTCACATTTAATTTCTAGTGGCTGCAGGGACAGTTTATTTATTTTAAAATCAACAACAAGTTCTTTTTGGGGTTTTTTTTACTTTTAAAAAGCAGCTTATGATCTTCACACCATTCAGAATTGTTAAGTACAAAATTCCAGTAAGCGGTTTCGTTATGGTCAGCCTGAATTAGCCCAATTATGGTTGAATCGTCTGCAAAATTTTATCAACTTGATGTTACTGTTGTTGTTTTGTTTGTTTTGTTGTTGTTGTTTGTTTGTTTGTTTTTGTGTTGTTGTTGTGTTGTTGTTGTTGTTTTTTTTTGGGGGGGGGCAATCGTGTATAGTGTGAATAAAACTGGTGACAAAACACATCCTTGAGGGGCCCCTGTATTTGTTGTGATGTGTGTCGACGAAGAATGTTTTAATTTTACATACTGGGTTCGGTTGGTAAGAAAATTGCCTGTCCATGATATTAAATTGACGTCAACACCTATGTTTTCT